AGCAAAGATCATCTTCCTACTCCCTTTTTCTCTTCAGCTCTTCTCCATCTCCTGCTTCTCTTTTTTTTCCTGTCTGATTCTGCCATTTCCTGGCAGCCCTTAGGAGAGACCTCTTTGGAAGGAGATCACACGACTGCAGGTCAGACCAGTTTAGCCACACTTCCTTTCACAGCTGGGCAGACAGAAAGTTGGATGATGGGAGGAAGTGAGAGAGGATGTAAAGAGAGTCGCATTATTACACCTGCAGATTTATGTACTGCCCAATGTGTCACTTTAATCCCTTATTTAATTTTTTATCTGATTTTAAAACAGACAGATAACCTGACCAAACTGAAATCTGATTCAGCTTCAGTGCTCCTATAAATAACATTTCTGGGAGGCTATTATGGCCCATAAGGTTCTCTAATCTTTTTCCTGTGTGTCATTTAAATCCTTCTAAATCAGAGTGGAACAGATGGATCAGCCAGCCCTTTATCTCAGCTAACATGCTCCAACTGATTGAGTTTCGCTTCTCCTCTCCTCTCCTCTCCTCTCCTCTCCTCTCCTCTCCTCTTCTGATATTTATAAACCTAGGTGGGGAAAACGGGTTTCTTCTGGGCTTTTTGCGGAATAAACTCGCCCTCTGTGTCAGTCCTGACTATACAACTTCACAGTGAATCATGAGCATGTTGAATGATTAGATTACTCTTTGTTTGTGTAGTGTGTAATGTTTTACTATTGGAAGGGAAATTGAAACCCACAATGCCAGTCTGACACTGGCATTGTGGTGGACACAGTAATAATATTTATATGCGTTTCCCTGCGGTGTTTGCTCAAAGAAAGGTTCTGCCTATGCCTCGATTCACTTTTGCTTTGCAGTAGTGACAAAAATATCTTGACATAAATTGATATTTACTTCAAAATGCAAAATGTGATGTTACTTGCACTGACCAGGGTATAAGCATTCATAAATATGAATCTAAAGATCAACTTTCTATGACTCAGGAATAGTTCAGTTTCTTTGTAGTGGGGTTTTAATGCAGTTCTGATCTACAATAAGTGTGCATACCAGTAGGCCACGCCCCTAAGCACACAGCAGCAGGTGAAAGAAACCAAAGCCATGTACTGCTGTGGACACAGTTACCAGCAGAACAGATTTTAACCACCTGAAAGACATTAATATTGGTTTATATGTATATGCTTTATTTATGGTTTCACCACTTTACCTGTTCTTTCTGACAAGGAAGCAAACTCCAGAGTTCACTAACAGTAATTTTACCTTACAAAACACAGGAGTCCTTTGTTTACTGAGGCAGCAGTTGGTAACCAACTGTAAACTTAAAAATCACTGTTTTTGCCAGCAGAGTCTGGTGGCTTTAAAGAGAGATTTCTTTATTAGCATTATGGCCCACATTGTTGTTTTCTCAAAGTTAATCAGCGTTGTTGTCTGCTGTCAGTCATGTAGTTTTAACATCAAAATATAACTTCAAGCTTTAAGTCATTCACATGTGTTATTACTGCACAGTGTCTCCCTCCTTGCTGTTGCACAGTGACTGATGGTGAAATGAGTGGCGAGCTGCACAAAATAACAGTTTACTGAAGACACACTTGATGTATTGCAACATTAAATTATATTGATATAAATAATGTATGATTCTGCACGCACTGACCTATTTTTAGCTACCCAGCTTTACCTGCTACTTCACTTGTAATTAGGTCATCTCATGTGGTTTATTGCTGCTATGTTATTGTACCAATGATATGTTGACATGTGTCAGCCAGACTTAGGACTCATTTAGCAGAACGTTTAAAGCTTCTTATCCTATATTTAAAAAAAAAAACTTATCATGAGGGTTTAGCAACTTTTTTTTTTTATCATCGTGTTTTTATCAAACATTGTTAATCACGGCTTAAATCAATAACTTCGTGTTTGTTTGATCTTTGATCCTTTTGCCTGCATGTATCGCTGCAGAGGGTTGTGTAAAATCTTCCATATGTATTAGACTGGATCGATTATGTGAAGGTCATAATTCATGCCAAGTCTGCATGAATTAAAACATTTATTAACACATTTCCTGGAAATATAATCAGTATAGTAATTTAAGACTAAGTACACTTAATACTATACTTAATACTGAGGTCAGTTTTTGAAAAAACAAGCACATGAAATACACAAAACTGTGTAATTTTATTAGTTTATTTCTAAATGAGGACTTTAGACAATGAGGTAAAAAATGAACAGCATCCTCCAGAAATTAATTTAACGTAGAACAAGAAACTTCAGTTGTGTAGTTGGACATTTCAAGCTTGCCGTAAAAGCGACTCAGTGACCATAGACCTTGATAGTACCCAATTTAACAGAAGGAATAAATATGTTAATATCCTACTACAAAACCACGGTTGGGTTCGATACCTAATCCTTCTACCACCCACCCATATACTGTGAATATATCTTGCTAACCAAGGTGATAACACTCCACCTTCTGGTTCAAATGAGGTCACTTCTTGCTCCAAACAAAACAGGATATCAGAAAGCAATGGGTGGTGTCACTGTGGCTTCTTCTTTTGTTATACAGGCTGTTTTGGAAAAAACAAGCACAGTTCAGTCTGTCTGTAGATGTATTCCCATATTCCCATCTCACTCTTTCCACACATACACACTGTGTTTTTCTCCACCCAATTAGTCCCCAGCAGACACTTCACCAGCATAATGTCTAATACACTATAAAAATACCTGCACATTTGTCATTATGGTGGTAGACCCTGTCACCTCCCATCTGGGCGGACCCGGCTGGGATTTCCGATACACCCCTCCCATCTCGTAAAGTATTGTCCACCAGAAACTATTGCACATGTGAGTTAAGTGGGCAGCTCGCTGTGTCGACCCATGCGGTAGGAGATGGAGGCCCCGTCTCAGACAAAGACCTCCAATTGATGTCTAAACAATGGTGCTGGCACACAGCAGCCTCCTGCTTGTGGAGGGCACAATAGGTCTTTTACTGTAGCACCAGGGGAGGAGTTGCTAGCAAGTTAGCTTAGCTGCTTAGGGACATTGTTGTGAACCTGAACATTCAATCTCCATGTGCTTGGATTAACTGGTGGTTTTAATATTTGCTCTGGTCTTCAAATGTCAGAATTTCTTTTATATATTTAGTGTAACTGAAAAGTAACACGATGATGGGCCATGTTGGCTGAAAATAAACACATTATATTATGCATGCATAGCAAACACCACAGAATACCTTCGGTTTTCTGTGTTTTGTTTTGTGTTTTTGTTTTATCTAACCTTGTTCTGGTTGATCCTCTTTCAGGACACGTGTGTGTGGTATGTCATTGCCACCTATGACACTGTGTCAGTCAATCTAAACACAGGAATGAGCTAATCTGAGTGTGTGCCTTGCTGTTTTACATTCTTAGAATTTTCTGTTCTCTTGTTTCCTGTTTTCTTAGTACTTGTGCTTCTTTGGGTCTAGAGATATGACCATAAACCAGTATTTAGTTTCTATTTCCATGGGACACTGCAACTGATGAAAGATAAATCTAATCTGATGGAAACTTTTCCTTTTTTTTTTTTAATAGAGCCAATTTCCTGCACTGGAAGGTTGGTTTACGATCACCTTGAATCCAAATGTCACACAGAGGCCATTTTAGGGCGCATAAAATAGATTAACAGGGCCGAGGCTTATCTCCTTTTAAATATGCTGATAAACAAAATGAGAGTCTTGGACACCCATCAACAATTTGGGATGGTGCTCAAAGACTTTTATATTGACAAATGTGTTCATGTGCAGCAATATCGAAGTGTTGAGGACTACTTAACCTCTCTCATCGTCTGACTCAGCAGTCATAATATGCTTTTAGGGTTGTTTGCGAATGCAGCAGCAGAGGTTTGGCAGCTGTGGAGAAAGAGACCATTCTTCTGTGGAGAGAAACTGGCATCCTAGTCCATTTTGGAGAGGAAGGAAGTCAGGCAGGCGGCCTCAGGGAGAGGGAAAAGCCAGGAGAGGGAGAGAAAGATTGTGTGGGTGAAAGAAAAGGGCACAGAAAGTTAGAGCGCGGGAAAGGTAGCCAGAGGTAGAGCAACTTTAACATGAACTATTATATGTTTGGCAGCAATTTTGCTTGTTTTTTTTTTAAACTGAAGAAGAAAAAACCTAATTGACTCCTGTGGCTGGATATGCTCCAATCTGGTCAGATTGGTCAGCGGTTCATCCCAAAGGGGTGGGATGTGGATTAGGGAAAACATCAGACCTGTTGGGGGCTTCCACAGAAATCTGGGGATGTCTCTTTAGAAAACTTAGAAAAACATACTATATACAAAGACTTCCCCAAAATACACTGGAATATCTGTTAATAGTGCTTTGCTGGTTCACAATGATTTAACCCAACCCTTCTCCATAAGCCATCAGTTATTATTTAAACAGCTTCCTTATTTGATATTAACCTCCATAACAACAGATACATTCAAAACAGCGTCTAACACAGAGCACGCTAATAACATCTGCAGCATGATATTGTAACATGCAAATAAAGCAAGATGGGGAACCTTAAGCTGGTGTCACAGTTTGTTCATATTTCATAAATGCCTTTCTGCTATTGTAATTGGTGAAAATGTAATCTGTAGAGGTCTAAAATGTGGTGTGACTGATTTGTAAAAGGGCGATGTTGACAAGTGTTGCAATTGTGTCAGCATTGTGATTCTGCAGTGTTGTAATTATAATGCTTTTTGTGGTTTCTGGTGTCTGATATTAGACTATACAGAACTCTAGAGTAATACAGTAAATGAGCTGTATAAAAATATAATAAGAATTATATCTTCTAAATACATGGAAACTATGCATTTTGAATAGTAAAGGCATTGCATTGTAGTTTTGTTTTGTTTTTTTAAACATATGTTTCCAAAAAAAGTTTTGTTAATCTTTATTATTTCAATGAAAATCATTGAAATCATTGCCAGGCTATCAGTCTAATCTTGTTGGTTGTGATTATCAATAAAGAAATCATTTTTTTATATTCTTCAGGTTTGAGAAGGGGAGGATCTACACCTACATCGGCGAGGTGGTGGTGTCTGTCAACCCTTACCGTGCCATGAACATATACGGCCGGGACGTCATAGAACAGTACAAGGGCCGTGAGCTCTACGAGAGGCCGCCACACCTGTTTGCCATTGCTGATGCTGCTTACAAAGCCATGAAGAGGAGGAACAAAGACACTTGCATTGTCATCTCAGGTATCACGAGAAGCCCCCCTGCACAGACCAGACAAAAGACACCTTTACATCTACAAAGCATTTGTTGAAACTCTTTTTGTGCTGTTGACTTCACACATTGTTTTCTGATGACTCAGATATTTTGTCTTCTCAATTCAGCTGAAAATGATGATAGGCACTTCACTGTGACTTAGTCTAAAACAAGTGTTTCATGTGGTCACAAGCTGGGTGAGCGCAGAGAGGATGAAGCACCACTTAGTGGTCAGAGAGGGAAATAAGACCCTCAGATCCTGAGATCACGTCATGAGTGCATTTTGTCATGTGGTTCGGGCAAATATTATTTGTAAAATAAAAAAATAATTAATGTGGAATTAAATAGTTTTGTGCATAACATGAATATAAAACAAAAACTGCAGCTCAGGATTTGTTTATGGGTCTCACCAGCATGGACGTCTCAACTCGTTTCTGTTTAAAATATTCAGCATTTTAAACCACTTGCATTTTGTTGGTTAAATTTGCAGAGCATGCAACACACCACAAAATTATAGATGCCAACATGATTTATGGTTATTAAACTGTTTTGTTTTGGTTTTTGTTTCAGGGGAAAGTGGAGCAGGAAAAACAGAAGCCAGCAAGTATATAATGCAATACATTGCTGCTATTACCAATCCTAATCAGAGGGCTGAAGTTGAAAGGTGAGCAGCTCTTATGGACACTGTCAGCACATAAACACATGGTGAATATTACCAGAAAGGAAGTTGTTTTCTTGTGAGTTCCAGTTGTCATGCATCACCACTTCTGTGGGCAGAAAGCTTATCACATAATAATCAGTGTTATGGTTATTGAACAAAAACAACCAGGCGCGTATGTTTTAATAGAAGGTGTAAACGGTCTCACAACACATTTCTGAGTAAACAGGATTTAACTCTTCATTCTTTGTGTCAGTCCCAGTGCAATGATGACTACTCGCAGGTCTTATCACAGGTTTTGTTGCTAAAAATAAGTCAGTCTTTAATTTTAGAAGTAAATCAGCAAGTGGTCTTTTAGATCATAGTGGGATATAGTTACAGCTCAGCTAAGCTTAGTCAAAGCCACTGATAAGTGAATAGGTGTGAGCTGTTACTGTGCAAAAAGAAGTCGTTGCATCACATTACAGTCGGATTTTATTTCAGTCTCTTAAAATCATCAAGATAATAAGAAAGTAGAGCAGCTTTGATGCAAAGTCCACCAAATGTAGGTCAAGGGAAAAAGCTGGAAAAGCCTTGACGGTCAACCATTTAGGTGGTGAATACAAAGTGCTGACAAATGCAGAGACACTAAAACTTTATGCACGAATAAACATTTTGAAATCCATAAAATTCTTTGCTCACAGAGCAAAGTTTAGAATTGTGCTTTCTATTTATCGCTGAGGTTACAGCAGCTGGTGGTTTACTTCATTACATTTCAGTACAGGATGGTATAATTAGCCAATGCTTTAAAACCCTCGAGTATAGAAGAGTATAGTATTTGATTATATAAAGGATATTTAGAAAATAACAAATTGTAGATGGGTAGAAGGAGTTTGACTGCGTACTCACATACTAATGATATTCTGAAGGAAATGTATGTGGACAGGATGTGCTTCGTATGTATACAGTCTTTATCAAAAAGGCACTAAAGTAAGTTACTGTGTACACATAGTGTTTAAAGTTGTTGGCTGTGTTTATGTATGTCCCATATAAATTACCTGTTTATCTCTCGATCCACATACTAGACCATATGAGTCACTGTTTTTAAATTGGATGAACTTGGCGGCTGTTTGCCCTCTTTTTAAGTTGACTTCTTTCTAACTGGCTATCCCTCGCAAACAGGTGCTTTGACAGCAGGTGGGCGGGACTTTTTTTTTCTCACAGCTGAAGCTTTTAGCTTGAAATGACCATATGTGTCATATCTGCTTTCACTTCCATACAGATTCAAGCACAGACAAAAAGACACTTTGAAACAGAGTTTATTTTTTTTTGTTTTAGCAGCTTTTGTCTCACACGGTTTGCGTAGGCCAGAGTTGGAAAGTATAAACATTTTGTTATAGTACTCGGTATGGTATTTTTAGGTGCTTTTTTTTCCCGACAATATTTAAATTTTACTCCCTGAACTTTTACTCCCCACATTTTAGACAAGTATCTTTTTTAATACTCTTTACATTTTTAAAACAGGCTAATTACTTTAGTTGTAACACTTAATATTTCAACAGTAAAACGTAAAACAATCCTGTTGGTGTATCCATCACAAGATACACCAACAAAAAACCTTATTTATGCATTATTTATAGAACTGTACTCAGGGGTTACAGTGGGCCTGAACGATCCAGAGTGGGATTTTTGATTGATATGTTTACTCAGAGATGGTAAAGGCATGTCAGGAGAAGAAGGCGGCAGGTTATAGACTGCTCAGTGACATTTGATAAACTGGAAATTTCAAGTCTATATGTAATGTCCTCAGTTATTTTAGGGCTTGTTAATATTCGATCTGTGCACGATACGCTTTTGATGTCATGCATTTTGTTTTTCATATTGTGAAACATCCTGTAAGTGAAATTAAAGTATACTAACTTTATTTTTTATTTAAAGGTTGTATGAAAATACTCAGCAGTTAAATATAGGTTAGTCCAGGTTAAGCAGGTTTAAGCAGGTTAATTTGCATTACTGTGGTGAATGGATGATGTTGCACTGGTGCAGAGTGGCTGTGATGTTCATGGTCAGTGTTAGATTACATAAAGGGTAGCAGACATAAATTTGAATTTAAAATGATGATGCTGATTAGAGTTGCTCACAGAATTGTCTGTATTTTCAGCTTTATAGTGTCTAAGGGATTCTTTCCCCCCATGCTGCACCACTAGAATTCCCCTGCCTATCAAATCCCACTTTAACCTCACTTTTCTCTTTAGTCACCTATCAATCATGCAGACCGGTGCCTTTAAAAAAATGTCCTTTGTTTTTCTCTGCTTGCATCCTGCACAAGCTTCAGGCTGTGTGGATTCATAAGAATGAGAATTTAGGTTGAAACAAACTGTGTATTCTCTCCCATTAATATTATTTTATTAGTATAACATGAGATTCAGATGGCTTGAAAATGCCCTCAAAGAGCTACTTTTTACTTCGAGTACATTTCAGAGCCTGTACTTTTACACTTTTAGTTTGAGTAAAAAGTGTTTTTTGACACAACTATCTGAGCTTCTGCTTAAGTGGAGAATGTCTGTACTTATATTACCTCTGACATATACACACACAAACATCAGCTGTTGAAATAATGGCTACATAACCATGGTAACTAATATACATACTAGGTCCTCTATAATCAGCCACTTAACTTCTAATATCATGATGCCGTCCCACAGAGTAAAGAACATGTTGCTGAAATCAAACTGCGTGTTGGAGGCCTTCGGCAATGCCAAAACCAACCGTAATGACAACTCCAGCCGCTTTGGCAAATACATGGACATTAATTTTGACTTCAAGGGGGATCCCATCGGAGGCCATATTAACAACTACCTGCTGGAGAAGGTATGCATTGCATTTGGTAAAGACTTGATTAGTGCATGACGATCCTAAAATATTTTAAGTACATGTGCAAAAGTTTTCAGCATTAAAATGAAGGTGCCTGGAGTTTGTTACAGTAGTTGCCGAGCACGTTGTTCCAAGCGGGCGGTCTCTGTCTGTTCTTTCTGTTTGTGTAATTCCAGAGTGACTGCCTGACATCCTAACCCTACCATATTATTTTTATATGTTTATAAAGCAAAATCATGCAGTGATAGTTACAGATTTTGTTTTTTCTTGGTTGACAAGGCTTCGAGCATTATGTGACACACGTTTTGTTCATTTTCCAAACAGTCCAGGGTGATTTTCCAGCAGGAAGGCGAGAGGAGCTTTCATTCGTTCTACCAGGTAAATATGTGCGCACCTGTGTTTATTTGCATGTAATCATTAAGGTTGTTTGTTAAAGGTTCCCTGTGCATGCACATATGGATTCACATGAATGCAAATGCAGCGGTGTCTCATTAATTCAGTGATCAACAGTGGGCAGTAGTGCAACAATAAACACTACTGAGTGCAATCAAAGTAAACTGCAACCTAGTAAACACTGATGAAAACAGTCTGTAAACAGGTTAGCTGGACCTTGAAGACAGACAACACATTTTGGCAGGGAAATCTGGATGAAAACACAATTTTAGTTTATTTTTAGAAAAGCTCCACAGGGTCCCCTTTTTAATATGCAAAATACAGACTCAGCAGCAGGATTCTGAATCCCTGCAGCATTTCTGAGTCAAAAGACCTTTTGTTTCCAAATGTGGGAGGATAGTGAGTTGAGGTTGTTTGATGTTGAATTTATTTGTTTATTTATTAGGAACCCCCATTGGCTGTAACACAGAGCACAGCTACTCTTCCTGGAGTCCATTTTAAAAATATACATGAACATGTTTCAAAACAACACTAATATTCCGCTAATATCAAAGAGCATAGAAACAATAGTGACAATCTGTGTTGGTAAAGAAATCCAGGTAAAGAAATTCCGGAAATTAAATAGTTGCAGTACTCATTGAGATAAACTCCACAACCGTTGCCGTAGAAACTTGTCAAATGAAACTCTTTCTTTGTTTGATGTTTGGCAACCTGTTTCGGATACTCAAACACTTTTCTTATCACAAAACAAATGTAGCCTAGATTTCATGATACCTTTGTGCATATATAACAAAAGCTGTGCCTTTAAGTTATCGGTAAGTCCAGATAATTGTTTATGCATCTCGTGCAAATTGGTAGGAGCAGTGCAGAACTAGTCCAGCTGCCCTGTTCTGCACTCTAGGTTGTTTTATATGTTTTTGTTTGTTTGTTTGTTTGTTTATTGCTTGCTGAGCATGAGGAGCATACTAATAGGTCTGCTATTTGAACCAGAAAAGCAAACATTTTTAGTTAAGGGTATCATTTAGACAACTTCCTGAACTCTGGAAAAATTCCACGGAGTAAACATCTTTTCTTTTTCTTTTTACTTTTCCTAAATGGCTTAACTTAAGATTGGCATGCTAATGGCTCAGGCTGCAGCATATTTTTGTTCAATATGAGTAAACATGTCCAAAGTTTCAGTCAACAGCATTAAAAACAACAAAGTATTTTCTTTGTTATCCTTCACTAGCTACTCAGAGGAGCTCCAGATTCCCTTTTACGCTCGCTTCACATCCAGAAGGACCCAAAAGCATACAATTTCATCAAAGTTGGAGGCCAGCTTAAGGTAATCTAAGCAATTTATATACATTGCAATTCACATATGAACTTTGTTGTGGTTCTGTTTTTAAAAAATTAAACTATTAAGATGTGTTTATAGAACTGGCAACGCATGAAAACCCCTAAAAGAATGTCAGCGTGACAGTAAGTTTGTTTGCACTGGGATAAATACAATCAAGCACACGATTTGCAGATGTGTCTGTCCTGACCACAGTTTATAGGCTTTTTTGAAACAAACCACGCAACTCCCATATTTGGAGCACAAGTGGAAAAAATAATTTCATTGATTAACAATTCGAAGTCACGGTGCATTAAATTCACTGTGGTCTCTTGAGATATGTTTTAATTCAGACTTCTGCTGTGTGTTGCCGTCTTTGCCTGAGCTTAATGAGTAGGAGCAAAACCACTTGACAGCAACAAATTGCCTGACGTCATGGAACAAAACACCACCACACAGCCGAGGTGGCGGTTTGTACACAGTTCGCCTCAGCGACTCCTGTTTTTATAGGAAAGCATCTCAGCTAAGAGCTGGTTTGTTATTTAATTAACACGTGATATCCTGACTCGATTGATTAGAAGAGAAAGGAGAAAGCACAAAGACTAAACAGAAAAACATTGTAAACTGTAACATTGTATACTAACATCTGTATTTGTTCCATTGAACCATTAAGGGGGATAAATGTTGAAAAGATGTTACTCAGGCTTTGCTGATTGTTTCCTGTTTCCTTCCAGTTATTTGTTTTGATCCACTTTCAGTGTCTCTTCTTCTTCTCTCCAGTCTTGCATCAACGATGGTGCTGATTTCAAAGCTGTAGCTGATGCCATGAAAGTGATCGGTTTCACAGGGGATGAGATTCAGACTGTTTACAAGATCCTGGCAACCATCCTGCATCTGGTAATGCCCAGTAATACGACAACTCTGCTTATTTCTTTTGCCAGCTGTGTCCCAGTGTATGTCTGTGAAGGTTCTCAGTCATCCAGGTCATGGAAACTTCTCTTAGAACTGAAGAAGCTTCTTGGATGAGAGGTGAAGCATCTTCAAGAAACTTAAAGAAGTCCACTCACTTTAATTTCCAAGCTCCTTAGATGTCCCAGAGTACAAACTCTTATTACTTTTATTATTACTATATTACTTGGGATAAATCAGAAGAATTATTAAATGTCCAGCCCCAATACTAAAGCGATGCACCTAATATTGGCCTCTGGGGTTGGTAGGAGGTTGTCTGGGTCCTGCGGATCTTGCAGGTGCTCCATCAGATTGGGATCTGTGGAGTTTTGGAGGATGGGTCAAGACTTGGAACCTTTATGGTGTTCCTAAATAAAATCTCTAGTGTAGTGGGGTGCATTGTACTGCTGTGGGAGGCCAGTCCAGTCAGGGAGAGGTTCCTTAAGGCTACATCAGTGTTCAAGTGGGTGGTATGTGAGTTAGACGTGAATACACGGAGCCAAGAATTCCCCTGAAGATTGATAAGGAACGAGACGATGAGTTATTCAGTGCACCTGACAGTGGTTTTGTTGATGTGGCTGATTTGTGTGGGGTGAATGAGAATTTTTATTTATTTTTGTTACTGTATATAGTGTTTGTCGCATAATCAGATCATATTTACACTTTTAAAATGTTGTTTATGCTTTGTTTTATGATTTTTATGTCTGTTTATTCAAAGCAAATTCCTGAAAATGATTTCAGTTTAGTGGTTGTTAAAAGACGAGCACCACAACGTTATTAAAGTTTAGTTGCGTTAAGCAGAATATGTTCCTCAGTTAAGTTAAATTTCTCACGTAGCGTAGACGTTTTACTTTAGTATTTCATGCCATAAATACTAAGCCATTGTCTTTGTTCTATATTTTAGGGAAATTTGACATTTGGAGTGGACGGTGATGTGACCCTGATAGAGAACACAAAGCTGGTGTCTGTGATCAGGGAGCTGCTGTCCACCAAGGAGGAAAACGTGGAGAAGGCGTTGCTTTATCGCACGGTAGCCACGGGACGGGATGTCATTGAAAAACAGCACACAACACAAGAGGCCAACTACGGGCGGGACGCGCTAGCCAAGGTTATTGCTGTGAATACTCGATATGTTCACGGTGGCCTGTGGGCCAGCACCTGTAGGGCTGTGATATTTTGCTCAGTGCTTGGTGATATTTCTACTGCTGTTCACACTGATTCACACTTGCATGAGTCACAGTGTTATGACTCGAGACAGAGGCTGGAGACTGTGGAGGATATAATGTATGTGGGCAACTGCAGGACCAGCACTGTGGGTTGTGACTCATATATTTTGACATTTAACTTCTCTAACTGTTAATTGCACACTGGGTGATCTTGTGCCCATGAGCAAGGCACTTGCTCACCAGCAAGCTGCCAAGGAGTCCAAAACAAACAATTCACGCTGCGATTTTGTCGTCCACAGGCCATGTATGAGCGCTTGTTCTGCTGGATTGTGAGTCGCATTAATGACATCATTGAGGTGAGGAACTATGACGCCAAAATCCACGGGAAAAACACTGTCATCGGGGTTCTGGACATCTATGGATTTGAGATTTTCCAGAACAACAGGTCTGTATAAGAAAGAATAATTAAATAAAATATTTTAAAAAAAGGAGAATTTCCAATACATTTGTCTTTGTATCTTGTTGTAAAACACATTGCATTTAATGTTATTATTCTTTATGCTGCAGCTTTGAACAGTTCTGCATCAACTACTGTAATGAAAAGCTGCAGCAGCTCTTCATCCAGCTGGTGCTAAAGCAGGAACAGGAGGAGTATCAGAGGGAAGGCATCCCCTGGAAACACGTAAGAAGAAAATACTCTTTTCAGTGATCATTAACATGTTTTATCAAGTAGTTTTCATTTAAGATCCTTTCGTACATCATCATATGGTATTTAATTTGCCTGCTTGTATATTTTCGTTTCATCATGGTTACTTTTACTCCTTTGTTTCCTTTATTAGATTGATTACTTCAATAACCAGATCATTGTTGACCTGGTGGAACAGCAGCATAAGGGCATCTTTGCTGTGCTGGATGAAGCCTGTATGAATGTGGGCAAAGTCACTGATGAGGTTTTTCTGCAAGGACTCAATACGAAGCTGGCCAAGCATGCCCACTACACCAGCCGCAAGGTAGGGAAAATGAAGTGCGCGCTGTGCTGTCTCTATCTTCTTCTTTTTTTGAACTCAGCAGCTTCTTCTCCTTTAAATGGGTCAGAAGTCTGATTGCTGTCTGGCTTTCAGTAACCCAAATATGTTTTAGACTGTGATTTCAGCAACTTTCTGACATTTTATGGACAAATATTAAACAAAATAGCACATTAATCAATCTAAAAACACATGATGGCTGTAATTTTCATCTCAATCCAGAGCAATATGTACAGGGAATATTTCTGCAGCACAGTTTAATCGAATATTTTTTTCATAATTTCCTGCTATCCCCTAGATCCAAAACTACACGCTTTTCAGCAAACTTTGATGTAAAAAATCAAGGCTGTTTGCTTCTAATGAGGCATTGTGTGGCTATAGTAACCTGAGAACAGCAGAGGGCAGATTACACTGTGCAGTAGCGATTAGTGCTTGGGGAAAGAGACTGAACATGATCCCGTTAGCTTTAATAATCAGCCAGGCTTACAGTGTAATTCACTCTAATGGTCTGTGCAGACCATTAGACTAAACATAAGCCAATTTAATTTGCAAACATCCTTTGCTTTCTCCGGGAGATCAGATGGCTTACAATGAGGTTAAGGTGACTTGCCGTCATAGATCTGGTTTGCGTGTATGTAGCTTTTTCTAGTGCTGTTTAACATGTAAAAGGTTGTCTGGAGCAGCTGATGATTAGTGTTCAAATCCAGGAGGTGTTTTTATTTTTAGGGCTGCAGTTTTCTGTGTGGACACAAGGGGGCATCAGCTGTCAGTGAAAGAGCTTCTTGGAGTCTGACTCAACACTTTGCACAAGTGATGTCACTGGCAGCCAATGAGAGTTTGTGGAGCTGGTGCTTTGCTGTGTTGGTATAAGTAGTGGAGAATGCGTATTTACAAATGCATGAGGGGAGCCATGCAGAGAAAAAGAGAGGAAGAAAAGGAGAGAGGAGGGAGAGGGTGATAGAGTGAAAATAAATGATGACAGGTGGTAGGTAAACATCTCTGTATATTTCTGGGCAGCATACTGTGGATCAAAATACTTAAAGCAACAGGCTACAAAGTAAGTCACTGTGTCAAAACTGTTGAAAGGCTGCATAGTCCCATGTGATGTGAAGAAAGAATAGTGAACGGTAGGCAGTGAACCCTGCAGTTGCTGTTATAGTTCAAAGTGAATGAAGTGCACTGTGACATAGAAACTGTGAATAAAGCCAGGATGAGTCAAGATCAGGTAAAGATTGTACTGTGGGGTGTATTCCTCTTACCCTCTTATCATCTTGGAGTCAGTATTCCCCTCGCCATCACTCTTCTGCTACACTCCGACCTCCTCCTGCTGCTGGTAGCAGACTTCTGACTTTGAAAGGCATGTGAAGTGGTGGGGTTGAATGTAAAGTGATCTAGCTGCTACTTCCTGGAACCAATATTGGCATGAATAAATATTATCCAGAGACTTTCCTCCTGCAGTGTCTGGACTACTGTACAATGTGGAGGCTGTTAATGTTGCCAGGCAGTATTGCCATAATGAGTGAATTGTAGGGGCCCTTTAGTCGATCTCTGGGGCATTTTGGGGGGAATAAACGGTGCGTATTACCATTTAGATTAACATCTTTTCAAAAGTTAATTTGTCCAGACCCCACAAGAGATGAGCTTTCCAAGTAACATTGAATGCAGAGAAGATGATCTTTGAATGATCTGAAACAAAAAAAACAGCAGTTAAATTAAATGTTCTGCTTATTGCAAGAGCATGAAAGTGGATGAACTGAAGTGTAGCGAGTGTCTTCTCCTTTTTACCTCTTAGTTGTAAAAGGCTGATAGGGTATTGTGGCAGCGTGAACGCGGTAACTCGAGAACGAGGCAACATAGATTTTAAAATTCATACTGTAGGTGTACCTACGAAAAATCTCAGAGAAGTTCAAATCTCACTCACCTTGACCTCAAGATCAGAGGTCATGTTTTTTGGAAATCTTGTGAATGCAATAACTTGAAAACAAAACAATGTGGTATTTTCAAATTGATACCATAGCTATATGTACTGGGAGGCTGAGAGGTAACACCAGCAGCCGCCAGTATTTTTAACATATATAAGTAAAATCACTGCTGTTATATGCACCCCTTCACAATATAATAGTAAGCAGCACCCTCAAGTGTATTTCTACAGCTTTTCAGCTGTCCCCAGTTAAAGTTTGATGTACCCTATAGAAAAACAGCAAAAGAACAACAATAATGACATGGAAACAAGTGTAAAAGTGCTTTTTGTTTATAACATATTTAAAGCTTCAAGTCTGTCAGATCCAGTCTGTTGTCATACTGTATATATTTTTCGTTTTTTTGCCTGGGGGCTCGCAGTGCTTTCCCCAGTACTGAATGAAACAGCAGCAAAGAGACAGACAGGACATCTCACTGCATTCAGTCTTATTTGCTTTTTGTGACAGCCAGGTAAAGTTTTTGACCCAAAAGAAGGAGAAAGCTACATGCATGATATGTGCAGAATGCAGCTTTTTTTTTTTTTAATCGGTTATTCCTCACTTTTTAGAATTGTTCACAAATTATGTACGTCTTGCAGACCTGTGGTCTTATTGAGTCTATGTTTTATGTCAATGTAGTACTGAAACTAAAATAGGAGACTTGGAAAAGGAAAACATGCACATCAAGAGAAAATGCCACTTTGCCATATGAAGGATGAAAAACGCAGATCATCATTCTGGTGTTGGCCTGATGTGTCCTGTTCTGAATGTCTGTAAAGGTTCTCAGTCATCCAGGTCATCGTAGTCTAAGGAGCTTGGACGCTCCAGATGCTTTTCTTTCCAAGCTCCTTAGACTCAAGTTCTGAATGTTTTTCTCTGTTATTTGTTTATTTATGCAGTGCAGACATCAGAGTAATGTTGCATGAACCTGATCTTTACACAAGAATTTTATAACTGTTACACTGAATGTTTGTCCTATTTGGCCGCTCTATGGATTATTTAAATAACGTAGACTGTGTTAGAGTCTAGGGTTGCCACCGTCATCATGCCTAGGCATCTTTATTTATATTGCACTGTTAGTGTTAAATTATTTTTTTTATAACTATACATATATTCTATTTATGGAACTGTTTTTTGGTGTTTGAGGAATGTAAAATGGATTTATGGCTTTGTATAGATATGCTTTTTTGTTTTGTTTATTAGCCAAAGCTTTATCTTATGTTTAGAACGCACTCTACTTGCCTCAATAGATCTGTTTTACTGAAAATCAGTAGATAAAAACAAATAGAGATAGATGTTATTTACCATGCCAAATCATTTTAGAGTTCCTCTTTAAAATGATGACACTCAGTGACCTTGAAGTGAAGTTTTAATTGAAGTGGAGGCTTCATGTCTAGTTTGGTACTGACTGATGTTGGAGCTGGTGGGTGGCTGGATACACACACTTAAACCTAAAGTGTTAAATACCTGTATTATTGAAAAATGCTGACAAATTTGCTCAGTCTTTGGTCACGTGTTGTCTTGGCAGTTAAGGAGCTGTGATATGCAAACTGCTGTATATTTTACTCCACACATGGAGTGTCACATGACAAGCCCACAGTTGTTTTTCTGGAAACTCTTATAAAGTAAAAAAACCAGAAAACTAACCCATGAGAATTTTGTTAGTATGTCTGTGTTATCCGTCAGGTATATGGATGGAATGGATTATGAATGGATTTGGAATTTCTTGGTCATAAAAAATGAAACATTTTAGAAGTTAAATAGTGTTGTCATTGCTGACACAGGGTCACTGAAAAAAACAGAGCCAGCAAGAGAGAAACTGTATATTACTGTGACCTCAAAACAGACACCCTAACCTACATTCATATGCAAATTAGTTCTTGGGAAAGTTTTAAAATGTTCAAGGCTTTGAGCATTCAAGGAGAACACGAGCTCTGCAGCCTTGAAAGACTAACAGAAGCACTCTCACCTCATAGCTCAGAGCTCCTCAAGTTGGCAGGATGAAAGTGTGAAGATGTAGGGAGACCGAGAGAAGAGGAAAGGGAAAGTGAGGTGCAATGTGAGAGACTGGGAGTTGTTATGTGAGGGGAAGTGAGATGTGCACATTCCGCGAGAGAAATGAAAGGGGTGAAGCACAGTTTTATGAAAACAAGAGCTAGGTATTATTGTATTCTTTCCCTCTCCCATCAAAATAGATTCCATGAGCACATAGATGTTTCCAACAAAGTAATAACACTAGATAACCTACCCATCGATAAAAGACAAGGAAAATCAGACATCTGAGTAACAAAAGAACCAGATAATTATCAAAATGGCTTAAAGGTTGTGCAAAAGAGAGAGAACATTGCTTTCAACCAAGCTGCAGCTTCCAGAGTTAAAAAATGAAACCAGCACCAAGACTGCAGTTCCTTTAATGATATTCAATATAATCATCTGATATGTAATGTGACAGGCAGTAAAGCCTGTTGCTAGCCTTAGCCAATCGTTTAGGGTGGAGCCCTAAATGATCTAAATATGGTAGCTCTAAATGAACCAAAGGTCCAGACGGTGATGGCCAGTGTGCTGCAGTCAAGGCTTCAAAGCCAGAATTCACAAATCAATGAACATCACCTCATTGGCTAAGTATGTCTGTGATCTTTATAGTTATTTGGCGGCTTGAGAAAAAACTCAAGAATAATATTTGTGAGTAGTTACTGGATGTGTAAAAATAAGCGATTGTGTTTGCCTCTATTCAAAATGAAGATGTCATCTGTTGCTTTATAAAGAAAAGCCAGGTCCAAGGTCAACTGAGCAACTCTGTTTTCCATGCAAAGGATATGAATGTATTTGTGTGTTATATAACTGCAACACCACAAGGGGTTTGAACTTATTTAAACTGCACTCATCATGCAGTTAAAGTGTGGGCTTTCAGCTTTAATTCAAGGCCATGTTCAAAAGTAAGTAAACCTACATACAGTAATTTTGAGTTTAAGCTTATTTGTATGACTTTAAATGCTGAACCTTTGCTATCAATGAATCCACAGACAT